CACTAGCGTGGTCGTTTGGTTGTGTGTATCAGCGCCGGAAGAAGACGGTCTCTCGATGTATTGTTGGCGTGGCGTGAGTGGCGGCTCATCGCCCGCACATACATCTTCGGAAAAGAGCTCTGTCTGGTTTTCGGGCGCTGGCTTTGGTTTGTTGTGTCGTGCCTGGCCCCCAACCCCGCTTCTTGTGGCATTTCTGGGGGGGATTGGAGGTCGGCCGACATCTTTGGGGATCGGGAGGAGGGTGGTTGGCGAGGAGTCTGAAGAGTATTCGTCGTCTTCGCTGCTTGTTTGCTCGGTTGACACTGGCCTGTCAACATACCGAAGTTTCGTGGGGTCCGACAATTGGGTAACGGCATAGTTCGGGTTACTTTTGCCTGTTCCCATGATGATCTCGTCGGCCGCAGATGTGATCTTCAGAGTTGGGCCATGTGGCAGACGAGTTACTCGCTGCGTGAGCGGAGTGCGGTTTTCGCGCTGGTCGTCATCCCAGCCTGGTGCATTGCGAGCTCTTTCGATTAGAGGTTGGTAGTGAGGCATACAAGACACCTCTGCTACCTGAGCACCTCCAGCAAGTTCCTCGGCTAATGCCTGGCGCCTGTCTACAGCAATGGGGATAGTACTACGCGGCTCATAGCTTGCACGCGTCCCTTGTGACGAATACGACTCGACTCCTGCGCCAACTTTCTGGGTGTATCCTCTGGGGATACGAAGTGGGTGGACTGGGTGGGAGTGCAAGGCGGTATATTTGTTTACCCCTGCGTCTCGCCAGAAAGTGGAATCATCTTTTGTGGGTTAGCATGAGTGTTGCATGATCCGACAGCATGTACCTACTAGGGTTATACGGCGATGGATAAGCGATCGTCTGAGCCGGGTTGATATCCCGGGTGTATGGGTAACCACTCCGTGTGGCTCCTAGAAAGTAATTAGCACAGAGCAGTAAGAATGTGAAACGTCTTTGTGCTAGGACAGCTCCGACTTCGATGCGTAGCAATCATAAGCTCAGGTATGACCATGCCAGGCTCACAACCACGGACGCCATGTCCCATCGTAAGATGCTTCGCACAGAAGACACTGCATCCAACTTTCAACAACACCGAAACATAAATCATTCCTTACCTCTGATATCCCGACGACCATCCTCACGGCCCGTGGCCCTCGTATTCTCAGTAGGAGAGATCACTTCCTCAAGGGGAGATCTGAAAGAAACGTTCTTCGAGTTGGAAGACATAGTGGAGATATGAGATGTTAAGTGTATCAAACACAGAGGAAGATTGAGATCAAGAATGAATCGTGAGGAGATGTGTAGTTCAGAGCACTTTACTGTGTCTGTAGCAGAAAAGCTGAAGATTGAGACGATATGAGTGAGATGTAGTTTCAAAACACGTAACTCTGTGTCCGTAGAAGAGGAAGATTAAGGCCTCGACAAGAGTATTTGGCTGTCTTGAACACGAGGATGAGAGGAGAAAAGAGCAGGTATGCTGTTGTTCTTCTTGGAAAGAGAGGTAGAAAAGATGAAAGTAGTCTCAAAACACGTAACTCTGTGTCTGTACAGAAGAAAGCTGGGGGTCTCAGTGAGAGTATCTCTGCTGGCTTGAAGATGAGAATAAGAGGGATAGAAGTAAGAAGCAGCTATGGTGGTGTTGTTTCTTTAGAGGAGATGTAGACAAGATGTTTGTAGATGACAGATGGAGACAAGAACAGCAGAGGATGAACGCGACCTTCAGCGTGTTGTAGAAGAAAAAAACAGGAAGTGTAGTGAGAGAATTTGTGTGTTAGAATCTCAAGAAGACGGAACACGACGCGAGAATTGCGAAGAGAAGACTAGATGCTAGATGATCTTGATCTCAAAGCAAGCAAGCAGACAGAAGAGCTAGACGAGTGCGCTGTTCAACAAGTACAGGAAAACCGAGAGCTGCAAGATGAAGAAATAGAAGCTGTCGAAGATGCCTGGTAAACGAAAGTAGACGAGCGGAACAGAATGTGGGAGAAGCGAGTGTTGGCCGGGCAAGAGGAATCAGTCAGAAAGACATTTCCTGCCCGGTTTGGTCAATCAGCAAACGAAATCTGTGTTCCCCTGCAAAACGACAAGACGGGCGTGTGTAAGACTGACGGCAAGAACCAAGCATCAAGAGGGCTGTCCGCTGCATTCACCAGGAGGGTATGGTGTGCTGCCGTAATGATGGTCTCTGATACCAGGTGACTAGGCCCAGACTGGCTACCAGGTTGCACGTATATGCTCCTGGCAGGCTATCAAGGACAGAAAGACCCACAAGGTAGAGAGAGCTCAGACTGCACTTGCCCCCACTCATATACTCGGTGGTTATAGACAGTACTTATTTAACTAACCATAGGAGTCGGAACTTGACAGCATCCATTCTGCAAAATGAAGCTGTCTGGACGTCCTGGGTTAGTCAAATCGATATCTGTTGCTTTCAGCGCTATCCCAAATGACCGTGCCTCCATGGCAGGGAACCTGCACGAGAGCTAAGCTAATCTCTTTCCATGACATTGTAAGACTGGCGGTATTATATTCTATGTCATAGGCTGCCAATCTTGTTGCTTTTCAGAATGCTCCCGGACAAAATGAGTTTGACTGACGATAGCTTCCGTCTCAGGGTTCGGTAGTACTAAGTCTCAATGCGTCTTTATTGTGGCGCTTGGACTAGGTTTCGATTGATTCGGCTTTGATATGCCACTTCTTGCAACAGTCACTCCAGGATTCCACATTATCTTGCACCAGGAGCGCTATCATAAGCTGGGGATTATAAAGTGCTTGGCAACATTTGGCACAGAGCATGCAATATCCACACCAGGAGTTAGACAATGAAGGTCTATACGTGGTCCTTTCTGTCTGATGCATTGAGTCCTTAGGGCTCCAGGCATGGGGTATAGTCCAAGCAGACACATTAGGTGCTTGTCGTCGCTGGTGTTGCTTCCTCCTCAGCCTGGACTTCTCTCTGGGCCATAGAACACAAGTCTGTTCATTAGGGCTATCAGAGACCACTTCGACCTGGAGAAATTGTCTGTTCAGCCTAGAAGCATCGAAGAATCGAAAGCCGGCATGAGTGCAAATGCAGCCAATCTGTTATCATGGTTAGTGATCATCCTATTTTGGCAGAACAAGGGCTAAAGCTATCCAGCAAAGACCTACTCAGCAGACACCCTCCTGCACAAAGCAACCTTGCCTGTACGCCTGTGTGATGTGTGATGACGCGTCACCAGCCCAGAGATGTGCTGTTCCCGTCCAGTTCAAAGAGAACCAGAACAACATGCCCTAACAAGAGCTTTGATACTCGAACAACGGAATAAAGACAAGGAGGGTGACTGGGCAAGAGCCACAATCACCCTCCATGGCTTTGAGAAGAGGAGAGAAAGAGAGGATGAGGATTTTCAGTGTTTTATGTTGTGCAAGGTAGACAAACTTGTCCTTCACTTTTGTGAAGATACGGAAACTTAGGCGAGGCGACTCCCGAATAGGAAGCTTTGCAGTGACGGGAGGCGCGCCTGGGGAATGGTTCGCACAGAGTTAATTGGGGTGTGTTTTGGATTTTATCTACTACTGGTTAATGGGCTTGTTGGTGTGATTGCTGTTCACCTGCTAGGTATGGATGCAGTGAACCAGCGATCTGTGTCATTGATCTTGATGTGCAGGACGAACATGCATCTACTGTCATGCTTCGTGAACTAGTAGGATCCGAGATAACGTCTCTCTGCTCTTTAAAGTCAACTTATGATATGATCTTATTTGAGGGGGTCTTCAACGACTAAATACACAATGAGTGGCCTCCAGACTCCGGATTAGACATCGACCACCAACTCTCTAAGTAGATTCGATATCCTCCACATTAGTATGATGGCCGCGTTTTCGTTTCCCCGCCGCCTGCGTGCTATCGCTCGTCCACTCGCTAATCTCCCACTCGAAGCTCGTAGACTGATCATCGCTAACCCCTACGCCACGCCTAGTCTTCATCATCCTCCCCAGTCGACTGCCCTCCACCATCTCTTCGAACCACGGGATCCCGCCCAGTGTGCCATGTCTGTAACTCCGTGAGACCGCCGACCCAGATGGAATGACCACATCTGACGAGCGGGTGTCTTGTTGCGCAGTAGCCGGACTAACAACAACCTTTTCCTTTCCCTTCGCAGGCTCCGCTTCTTCCTCTTCTGCTTCCCTCTCCTCATCAGAAGAATGGGGAGGGGATTCCGGAGGCAACAGTTCCAAGTCCTCTAACATGCGCTGGCCATCGCCAAACAAACTTCCTATCGACACCGACATGTACTCTGCTTCTTCGCGCGGATCCTCGCTCCAGAATGTGAGTGGCGTGCCGCAGTAACCGCAGAAGACCCGCTGGGTATGTGGCGCATGGTGCGGGGAGAAGATGCGACGGATGGTGCTGTGTGTTTCATCGGGGAAGTAGGATTGAGTATGAGATTGGTACCAGGTTAGAGGAACACGAAGCCAGGCTGTCAGCGGAGCTGCGTGAAATCTTCCTGTCCATTTTGTGGTTAGTACTATTGCAAATATATATTAGGTGGAGCGTGACGTACGATTGTCTCGGCCGGTGTCCAAGTAAACGTGGGCATGGTCAGTTATGTCGTCGGGCAATCGGATCTGATATTGATTTCTCCCACATTGACAGGAGCCGCGGAGATGCTCGTGACTGGTCATGTTGTGGCGTTTATCTCCGATCGGGGTATCTAAGTAGTAGTGAAACAGCGCTAGTGTGAAGTCATAGATCGAGTCGATCAATTGAGAGATTGAAGACCGAGAGGACACGACCTCAGGGTAAGCTTCTAGGCCTAATTGTATATCTAGAATGAGGGAGGCAGAATGGAGACAATATAATGGGAAGGGTGCAGGAGAGAAGATATCTGAGGGAATCTAGAAGCAACCTGAACGATCGATGACGTTACGCGGGTGAGGCCGCGATCCAGGGACTGGCCAGTTGGCGGTAATCTTGGATCATTAATGGTACCCTCCGCTTCAAGTCGATCGCGGTTCCCATTAATGGACCTCCGCTCCATTGGTCCAGAAACCCAGCAAGTTCGTTCCCCCCTAATGAGCTGGGGTCTGCAATGAATCTCTAGTCTGCTCTCCTTTCTCTTTACATATCTCATCGTATTCTTCGTTCATTATATCTCCCACTCAGTCTCTCTCTTTCATATCTGTATTATTGTGGTTGTTTCTCTGTTTTCTCTGCTCTTCTTCTTCCCCGCAGAACTACCCTGTTTGGTTGTCACATGAAAATCCCACCCCAGCAAGAAGCACATGATAGTCGCTGTATGAACGACAACAATCGCATTCTCTCGTCCACTCCTATATACTCCCAGAAGAACCACAATGCCATCTGCACGACCTCCTGCCTCCCTGGCTTCCAGCTCTTCAGAACCATCCTACTCTCCCCTGCCCGGCGGCGCAACCACTCATTCCGACGATCGCGACGACCGTTCTCCATCCACCACACCCACCGGCAACTCCTCCTCCAAGCCGGCCTCGGCCTCTTCAGTGGCCAACGCACAAGACAAGGACAAGCCGCGGCTCACCGAGCAGGAAAAGAAGAATAACCACATTGCATCGGAGCAGAAACGCCGCGCCGCGATTCGGGAGGGCTTCGATCGATTGACCGAGCTGGTGCCTGGCTTGGAGGGCCAGGGTCGCAGTGAGAGTATTGTGCTTCGCAAGACGGTGGACTTTATCCAGCTTCAGCTGCAGGAACGACAGGAATTGATTGCGGAGATTGAGCGTCGTGGAGGGCGCATTGATGATTCGTTTCGCAACTGATGCTGCCGAGGTCCGAGCGGCATGCTGTTGTTGATGATGATTATGACTTGCTTTTGCGGTGGATGAGACTATGCAACATGCGTCACGCGACTCTTAAATGATATTTGGAAAGGAAAAAGTCCGGCGCTGGGTCTTGACCGGTTGGTTGGCAGTGGTGATATTGTGCAATTGCAATGGGCGATGGTTGTGGTAATTTCTTTTTTGGCCTCTACGGAGGCTTCTTGGCCTAGGGTCTTGAGGCGGGATGGCGTTGTATTTGGTATATAGGGATGAGAAGGTCCCGATTGTTACTGTTGAGATTGTTGCACTGCTGCATATATACATTGGCGGCATTATGAGTTCAGTTATTTATTTAGCAGATACTACATGTTGAAGCCAGACTGGAAATGGCAATTACTGTCATGCAGCTTTCCATATGGAGTAGTAGACAGTAAACGAAACCATATGCAGGGAGACAATCTGTACCACACCAACTCTCCTGAAGCGTTAAGCTTAACCTTAATCCCCCATACTCAACATACTACAAACCGAGCAATAAACATGCAGCATGGACCACCATCACATGCACGCCCAACTCGTATCACTATCTCGTATCTATCTACTATCTGCATTATCACAACTGCCGAGTCTCACCGCCCGTCTATCAAATTCAACACCACCACCACCATACCCCCAATCACGACCATATACCCAACACCTCACCCAAAATACCTTTCCTACCACCAACAAACCTCCCATCCCACCCAAAAGGGAAAATCTCAAAATGTCCGACAGCAAACAATCCCTCCTCTCCCAAACGGAGCCCGAATCCGACGACCCTCCTCCAGCCTACACCACCAGCAACACCAGCACCAGCACCAACCAACCGAACCACCAAAAACGCGCCTCCCTACTCCCACGCCCACCCCCGCTCTCCCTCCCAATCCTAACGCACCTGCGCTCAAAGCGCTTCATCCTCGCCTCCTCCTCCCCACGCCGGCGGCAAATTCTCTCCCTGCTCTCCCTCCCCAACATGGAAATAATCCCCTCCAACACACCGGAAGACCTACCCAAGACGCTTCCCCCCTTCGAATACGTCCTCCAAACCGCCACGCAGAAGGCACAAGCCGTGTACGCCCAGGAAGTCGACTCGCCGAAAGGCGACCCATTCATTCTAGCAGCGGACACTGTCATCGTGGACACATCCACGGGGAGTATATTAGAGAAGCCGCGGAGCGAGGCGCATCACATCGCGATGTTGAAGGGGTTGAGGGATGCGGGGGAACATAAGGTGTATACGGCGCTTGTGGCGATGACGCCGTTAGCGAGTGCGAGGGTTCCCGGGTATGCGTTGGAGAGTTGTCTGGAGGAGACGAAGGTGTGGTTTGATCAGGGGGTTAGTGATGAGGTGATTTTGGCGTATGTGAGGACGAGAGAGGGCGCGGATAAGGCGGGTGGGTATGGGATTCAGGGATTAGGGAGTATTCTGGTGGATAGGATTGAGGGCGGGTTTGATAATGTGGTGGGGTTGCCGTTGAAGAAGGCGCTTTGGTTGATGGAGAAGGTGGTGGTTAGGGCGGATGATGAGGATTTGTTGGATGGGGAGGGGGGAAGTGAGGAGGAGGATGGAGAGGGGGAGGAGTAAATCTTATCTTATAGTAGGAGTATAATATGGAGTAGTAGTTTAATTTTGAGGGATGGGTTTCTGTCTATGTATATAGTGATGAGGATAGAAAAAGTATAGGTATATTTCAAAGTACATCTTTTACAGCTCGACGAGCCAAAATATAGGAATCAGAACATGTACATAGAGGCAGAGCGGCACATACGCCCAAAACAAACCACAAGCAGTAATAAAACTAAAACCATATCACAAAACAACACACATCCCTAGGAGTCTATGCGTTCCACACCCGGCAGAGAGCCTCCGTCACACCAACGTCGTTCGTCTCGAACTCGTACAGACCGACGGCCGTGCTGAGGGTGAACGCGCGGAGCAGCCAGATCATGAAGGTGTGGGTCTTGGGGACACGGCGAGTAGGGAAGTAGTCGGTGATGGAGGCGCTATTATTTATTAGCCTCTGGTCTCACATTCCTCACACGCGCGCGCGGGGCTTAATCAAGGCAAAGAGAGGGAGGAAAGACGTACTGGAAACCAATGTGAGAGTGAACCACGATAGCGGAGCAGATGACGGCGTCCATGACGGGGCTCATGGAACCAGCAGCGAAGGGAGCGATGCAGAGAGGGACGAGACCGGCAGAGACGATTCTATTATCGTTAGCTTTCCAATTCCCTATCCATCAATCCTTCGACCCATCCATGTATATCCGATGGATATCAAGATAGAGGGTATAAACGCACCTCTCAAAAGTCCAGTGGTAGCTACCCTCGGTAGGGTGAGACTTGGGGATGGGAGCGGGGTCGTTCACTGCGTCGAGCTGTCAGAAGCATATTCCAAACATTTTATGCATGTCGACCCTTCAATTTTAATCATGGCTGTCCGATCAAAAGTCGATATCCCGAATATCGATTCCCGTAGACAAAAACCAAAACCAATAACCGAATAACCGGAGAAATCACGTACTCGTTCCCTGAATAGTCTCTGTAACCACCAACCCATTAGCATAACCCTTCCCAGATATCCAATCGCATCCAATTCATATATCGAGAAACTCACGAGGCAAAGGAGGCAAGATCTGCTTCTTAGCGGAAGCATGGAAAGCCACGACCTGCGCGACATTCTTAGTCGCGAAGGGAGCGCGGAACGCCGACCGCAGGAGGGGAGAAGACTGGCGCGCGATGGAGGCCATTTTGCAGGATGTGCTTTTGCTGTACGGAGTGGAGTGGAGGAGGTGGGAGGTGTGGTGACCGCGATGCTCAGCGCTAGATAGACACAAGCACAGCAAGTGACAGATGCAAAGGTGAACTGAAGTTGAGAATGGAACCTCGGGAGTCCGATCGGGAATACGGTCATCATATTGTCGTGCCTCTGATTGGTCGAGAGTGCTCCGCCCAGCCGAAAATGGCCGATGTGCCGGCAAAGGTATCTATCATCATTCTACCACAGTATGACAGTGCGAAGGGGATATGTAGGGCTTAGGTCCGAATTGTGATCTTTGAGGCTGTGGGAATTAATTTCTTTACTTGGATTTGTTGTTAAAGGTCTCGTTGTGCTGGACGACTCGATAGGAAACTCATGTGGTTCATGCCTAAGGCATTACTCCCGTACCCGATTGCCGACAGTTACACGCAAGGAGAGATGATAGACGTTGGAGGATGCTGGAACCGTGGTACCTGCATCATCGAATACAATCATTTAATATAAAGCAGCTACACATCTTTGAAGATAACAAGTAAATTCCGAACTGTACTCTATACCCAACCATCGTCTACCTCTAATGAGCCAGTTATCACATCATCCATATACACATTGCATACGAAGCCATCCCGATTGCACCGGGTCTTTGGATATTATAAACAAACACAATGAAGAAGAAAACACAAACCTTTTGTCATGAACGGTATCTAGCAACCACTTTTTACTCGCGGCAGATCATGTGGTCACGAGCAGGACCGGTACCGATCCACTTGACGGGAACGCCGCCCAACCCGCGCTCAATGTACTCGATATACGCGCGAGCATTGGCAGGTAGGTCCTCGTACTTCTTCACACCCATGGTGTTGCTCTTCCAGCCAGGGAGGGTGACATACTCGACCTGGACCTTCTCCAGAACTTCCGGATCGGCGGGCATCGTGTTCTCCGTGCGGGTGCCGTCGGGCAGAATGTACGCGACACCGACCTTGATCTCGTCAAAGTCATCGAGCACATCCAGCTTGGTCAGGTTGAGAGCGGTGTAGTGGTTGATAGCGTGGGAGTAGCGGCACAGGACCATGTCGAACCAACCGCAACGACGTCTACGGCCGGTGGTGACACCGAACTCCTTACCCACGCCCTGCAGCTTGTCGCCGAACTCGTTCAGCTGCTCACTGGGGAAAGGACCCGAGCCGACACGGGTGGTGTAGGCCTTGACGACACCGATGATGGAGCTGATGCTGGTGGGGTTGAGGGAGAGGGCCTGAACGGCACCGCCCAGACCGGTGGACGAGGAGGTCACGAAGGGGTAAGTGCCGTGGTCCAGGTCCAGCATGAGAGCGTTGGCGCCCTCAACGAGGGTGTTGGGGGCGTCCTTGTACTTCTGAAGGAAGGCCAATTGGTCGACGATGTAGGGGCCCAAGCGTTGACGGTAATCCTGGTTTTGTTAGATGCTCCTGGAAAGGTGCTTCCGAGACCAACAATACATGGCGAGGGAGAGGTCATCCTACCTTGAAACGAGCAAGTTCCTCCTCAACGTTGTAGTCCAGCTCGCCGAATCTAGCGCGGTAGCCAGCGTCCAAAGAGCGCAGCTTACGCTCGAAGAGAGCCTCATCAAGAATCTCACCAACACGGATACCGCGACGGGCGGCCTTGTCACTGTAGCAGGGACCGATACCCTTGCCGGTAGTACCGACCTTGCGACCGCCCAGCTTGGCCTCTTCCAGGCCATCCACGACGGAGTGAAGGTCCAAGCAAACGTGCGCACGGTCAGAGATGAAGATGCGCTTTCCAGCGCCCTCCAGACCCTTGTCCTCCAGAGAAGCCAACTCCTTGAAGAAACTAGGGACGTGCACCACGGTACCGGCGCCAATCAGGTTGACACAGGAGGGGGAGACGAGACCGGAGGGAAGGATGTGGAAATCGTAGGTCTTGTCACCGTGGACGATAGTGTGACCGGCATCTATCCATTCCATTAAACGTGATTCTCCGAAAAGAGAAAAGGAAAGACTTACTGTGGCCGCCAGCGGCACGGCAGCAAAGCGTAGCCTCCTGCGCAAGCATATCGGTAATCTTCCCCTTTCCTGTAATCGCAATAAATCAGCCATGCCCCAATTGTGTCATTCCAGTTGATCAATCAATCGATTCGAATCGACCTGTGAACTGCCGGGTTAATGAGATGACAACCCACCTTCATCACCCCACTGGCTACCCAGAACAATAGTGACACCCATGATTTCGAATTAAATGTGAAGCCACGAAATATATTTCAATTAAGTAGCTCAATTGCGAATTTACCCAACGGTAAAAGTCTTTGTGGTGTGCGTGCGAAGCAAGAAGACGAAATAGTCACTCGAGATCGAACGGCAACGCGGGGCACTGAATGCGGGATGAAATGAGTCACTGATCTCAAAAGAGCAGCAGCAACAATCTCTGACAAAGTGAAGTAGGAGAGGATAAGATAGAAGTGAAGATCAATTAAAGCACACTGAGACAAATCTTGTAGATAATCTGCAGTGACTGGAGCAGCAACGTAGGTTCCGTTGAAAAACCTCGCGACCGTCAAAATCCAAAAGCCGAAAAAAGAACCAGCGGAGGGGAACTGGCTGCGGAGGCAAAGAATGATATATGGGCGGGCGGGCAGTCAAGTTCAGCCAGCGGCGGGGGCCGGGACGAACTCGGTGAGACAAGAGAGGCAGAGCCACAGTTTACTATACAGAGTAACTAAACGATAGCATGAGTGATTCCTGCTACTAATCCATTCCTTTTCCTTACTTGCTTTACCATACCGTTACCCTCAAATCCGGTTGTTGGGCGGGCCTTTCGGTGTTTCCCGCTTCCTCCCCATGACTCCTTTCTTAGGGTCTCCGTATTGCCGGTACCGGTGCTCGTTCCCCGCGGCGGGGTCGGTCGGATGCGGTATTGGACGGCACAATACACCATTGCCTATTGAAGATTAGTGCCCTACGTACCCCTAAGCTAGGCAATTTCGAGGCATTTTGAGTCAGGTGATCTCGGCAGAGGTGAGTTATTATTGCCTACTTCGGCTAGAGACCCTCCCATCTAGACATCTAGAGAGGTACTAGGGAGGGTCTGATACAGGATCTATACTATATTCGCAACTGATATAAGTTTGCTAAGTAAGTATAGTGGTATAATGATGGACTGTTCAAAATCTGCACACGAATGATCAATGAAAAGGTACAAAACAAGAATTGTTGGAACTGTGTGTGTTCATCACAGACCCCGTTGCCTGTGCGCTATATTGGCGCATATAGATAATGTCCAAATGCTATGAAGCAAACAGTTCTGACTCAATATATGTCATTTTTGAACCACGCCCAGTGGCCTGGATGAAACGTGTCAACACACTACGATGTAGCAGACTGACAATGGGCATGACGAAGACATCCATCCCGGATTGTTGGAGACAGGAGGACATTAGCATATGCAGACCCCCAGCACTAGAGCATGCGACTCGAAGACTTTCACAGGCATTTTTTGGTGAGACTTCGAATGTTTACAGTTTACACATCACAGTAGATAGTGGGGATGCAAGGGGTTACACGGGCATGAGGTTGGCCAGGGATGTACACAGTAAAAGTAGCACCCGAGGAACGCTACATTGCTACTATACTATCGTCACTGATTTCACAATAGCGAAAAAGTGAGGTTTATACTGTGCGGTAATTAACAAGAAGAGAAATACTACTGTAATACAGAAATAAAGCCGAATCATGATTATGATCAACAGGTTATCCAGAATCATTGCTGCTGCTGATTGTTCGTACACCATGCCGTGAAGATTCCAAGCGTTGACGGCTGCATTCATACGACTAACCTAAATGGCAAAGAATGTTCCGTCTTTCCCTTGTCTACTAGTAAAGCATATTAAAGAAAGAGCCATGTCCCAGATGGTCCAACTCGAAGAGGAAGGTACCGCAACCTTCCCTCGAGTCTCTTCACAACTCCAGAATGAACAACTCTCTATCTCTGCACTTTTCTCTACCACCAACTAATCTTATCCAATTCCTATCCATTCATCACACCCCCATTTTCCGTCCAGCAGATGCAGAAAGATCATGGAGTAGGCCATTCAACGTATCTGCCGAGGTGTATGACTATCCTCTACATATCGCATTCCCAACCATCTTTGCGAGCTCATATGTCCTGATCATCATTTACCTCAACTCCATCAATCGCAAAAGACGAAACAAGCCATGGCGACTGAGTCAGACTCGCTTCTTTCACTACCTCGTGCTTTTCCATAACATTGGTCTCTCGATATTCTCTGCATGGGTATCTTGCGGATTGCTCTCAACAGTCTACACACACCTACCGTCCCTAAAGCAAGATTCATATTCTGTGCATGTGGCCGCGACATTATGTCACATTGAAGGAAGGCCCACTCTTCATACCAGCGTGCCAAACGTCACTGCCGCTGTATGGGATACTGAGAATGGTGATGGCTTATGGCAGAAAGGCGTGGGATATTTCTGCTGGGCCATGTACATGTCCAAGTTTTACGAGGTAACGGACACGATGATTCTGATCCTGAAGGGGAAAGAAAGCACCTTCTTACAAACATACCACCATTCCGGAGTCATGGTCGGTTCATGGGCGCTCATGCGTTCGACGTCGCCTCACTGCTTGGTGGCTGCACTGCTGAATAGCGGTGTTCATGCATTAATGGTCAGTCCATAAGCTCATCAATACTGCTGCTGCTCGATACATTGTATCTCTACAGACATATACTAGTGCTAACCAGGGAGAACCCGGTAATCATGCAG